CTGTCGTGCTGGGAACTAAGCTGGTGGATGATGGAGAACTTCCTTGGGATAGTGTGGAAACAGGACTGGTGGTCACCTCCAGAGGAGAAGATGAAGTGATTTCAGGAGTTGCACTCACAGGTGTGGTTGTGTCCTCAGTGGTGAGAGGCAAGCTGGTGATATCAGGAGGCCTGGTCACTGATGTGCTTGAGGGCAGGGTTGTGGATGATGGAGTACTTCCTTCCGGTTGGGTAGAAACAGTGGTGATGGTGATCTCCACAGTTGAAGATGAACTGACTTCTGGGGTTGTAGTCAAAGGTGTGGTTGTGGCCCCAGAAGTGGGAGATAAGTTGGTGACATCAGGAGGACTGGTCACTGTTGTGGTAGAAACCAAGGTAGTAGATGATAGAGAACTTTCTTCGGGTGGTGTGGAAACAGAGGTGGTCGGGACCTCCACTGTTGAAGATGAACTGACTTCAGGAGATTTAGTCAGAGGTGTGGTTGTGTGCTCTGGGCTGAGGGGCAATGTGGTGACACCAGGAGTACTTGTCACTACTGTGCTTGAGAACACGGTGGTAGAAGATGGAGTAGCTCCATCTGGTGGTGTGGAAACAGTGGTGATGGTGACCTCCACAGTTGAAGATGAACTGATTTCTGAGGTTGTAGTCAAAGTTGTGGATGTGGCCTCTGGAGTGGGAGACAAGGTGGTGACACCAGAAGGACTGGTCACTGTCGTTCTGGGAACTAAGGTGGTGGATGATGGAGAACTTCCTTCTGGTCGTGTGGAAACAGGAGTGGTGGTGACCTCCAGAGGAGAAGATGAAGTGATTTCAGGAGTTGTACTCACAGGTGTGGTTGTAGCCTCAGTGGTGAGGGGCAAGGTGGTGATATCAGGAGTACTGGTCACTGATGTGCTTGAGGACAGTGTTGTGGATGATGGAGTACTTCCTACTAGTGGGGTCGAAACAGTGGTGCTGGTGACCTCCACAGTTGAAGATGAACTGATTTCTGAGGTTGTACTCACAGGTGTGGATGTGGCCTCAGTGGTGAGGGACAAGGTGGTGATATCAGGAGGACTGGTCACTGATGTGCTTGCGGACAGTGTGGTGGATGATGGAGAACTTCCTTCTGGTGGTGTGGAAACAGGGGTAGTGGTGACCTCCAGAGGAGAAGATGAAGTGAGTTCAGGAGTTGTACTCACAGGTGTGGTTGTAGCCTCAGTGGTGAGTGGCAAGGTGGTGATATCAGGAGGACTGGTCACTGATGTGCTTGAGGACAGTGTTGTGGATGATGGAGTACTTCCTTCTAGTGGGGTAGAAACAGTGGTGGTGGTGACCTCCACAGGAGAAGATGAAGTGATTTCAGGAGTTGTCCTCACAAGTGTGGTTGTGTCCTCAGTGGTGAGGGGCAAGGTGGTGATATCAGGAGTACTGGTCACTGATGTGCTTGAGGACAGTGTTGTAGATGATGGAGTACTTCCTTCTAGTGGGGTCGAAACAGTGGTGCTGGTGACCTCGACAGTTGAAGATGAACTGACTTGTGGGGTTTTAGTCAAACGTGTTGTTATGTCCTCAGTGGTGAGGGGCAAGGTGGTGATATCAGGAGGACTGGTCACTGATGTGCTTGTGGACAGAGTCGTGGATGATGGAGTACTTCCTTCTGGTTGGTTAGAAACAGTGGTGGTGGTGACCTCCACAGTTGAAGA